GGACGCCGGTTCGATTCCGGGTCCGTCTGCCTTGGTCCAAGTTTTTCTGTGGTTTCCTTGGATCACTTAGGCAAATGCTGAGGCACTAATATTCCACAGATAATATTTCACTCTCTTCTGTCTTCATTTCGTCAGTCTCGTCTTTCTCACCCGAACCACCACCCACCCATTCCCACGATTCCTGAAAGCAGGCGAAAGAGGGCACCTTCCGACATAGTCCAGAGGGACTGCCCGCCCACCAGCATTACCGGCTGGTGGGAATGAAGCACCCAAAAGAAAAAGTTTATATATACACTATCAACTTTTAAGGTAGGCCAAAACAATCTAATGATTTGAGGTTAAATTTACAAATTGTTCTAGAGATGTCCAAAATTTAGTTAATCGTAAACTACTTTGACATTAGGTGATGCTACTGGAAATCGATTGAATCAAAATTAATATTTTTTTGCCGAAAATTGATCACAAACAAAGCTTTTCAGTACATGGTAAACTCCGGCTACTTTGGTAACTTTATGATAACGCAGGATTATTTAAGCTTCATTATCTCTCTTAATTACATGAAAAAATTTCTAACAAAATGTCTGCTTGAACTACAATTTGTATCTCAATAGGAGCGCATGATGGTCAACTAAGAATCCTCTTAAGAATAATTACAAGCTTACCTTAATAAATAAAAACTTGAAAGGCACAAGATTCAATTGTAATTATTTATTTTTATCAATGTAAATCATGAGGATAACATTCTCTAATCGTTTTCCAATTGCATGATAGCCGAAAGTCAGTCAGTTATCGGAAATTATCTCAATGAAATAAACTAACTTCAAAGCAAAAGAAAGTCCTACAGGCGTGGCAGAACTTTTTGGTTAGAAACGTGATTTAGAGCTTGTTCATAAATGGTAGAAACTGTTTAACTTTCTATAATATCTAATACTTACACGTAATAATAATCATCAATTTCTCTAAAGAATGTGCAATGGGAGTAGCATTTCCGAACTGTTTATTGGATTTAATAAATCACTCAAACAGTCCGCGAATGTACATTGAATTACTGAAGCGTTTCATAAATAATAATTTGTAGCTACTTTAAGGCTCATATTCGAACAGTTTTTAAATAGAAGATTGTTACTTTGT